AAAGTCTAGGCAGAGGGGACACTGTCAACAAAGTATAGGAAGCTTGGAAGATAAGGCCAACAATTATTACGTTTGTGAGAAAAGAGTAAACATTTATGACACGTGTAGCTTCTGTACATACATTGCTTTGTAGGAAATGTGTACTTTATTTCCAGTACATGTGAAATATTAAAATTAATATTTCGACAATACACTGACTTTCTGCTCGCTTTCTGTATAAATTTTCAGGTTTCTGTATGAACTTTTAGCGACCTCGGTATGAAATTCTCTTTTTCATTGAAAAAATATTTTAAAAATTATATGAAAACCAATTGACAAGGAGTGAATAAGCAAAAAATGGGCAACGTCTCGTTTTAGAGGTTAAAGGTTTTAAAAAAAAGGCACAACAATGCGCAGCAGGGTACCACGTATGTCGTGTTGCAAAGCTCACAGCGGTATTTTGGATGCCCCATAGGGCATACTACTGGGATGAAACACCACCCATTGAATATATCAATTTATACAATATGATAGAAAACGAGCAGTCTCAGTTTTTTATACTCTTCCAGGTTCTAAAAATCTGCGCATTATATGTGTACCCAAATAAAAAATACACTTCCCTCATGAAATAAATAAAAATATATATAATTTTAAAAACTGAGAAAATAAAATAATTTTAAAGAAATGAAATAATTTAAATATTTACGGTTAGAAATATAAAATAGAGATGAAATAAAAATGATGATTAATATAATTACGGTCCTACTATACATCAAGCGGTTTGCTTTAGTCATGCAAGTCCTATGAGGCCTTTATAAAGAAAAAGAATCCTCTGGGTTTAATGCCTCGAAAATATCCACAAGAGGATTGACACCTTATCTGACAACCCTTTTGTACCCTATTCATTGGCAAGCGACAACCTCAACTCTCATCATGTATCAAATGAAACAATAAAATATGAATAATAAAAAAATTAAACGATACAAAATAGTTATTGGCATATTTTAGAATAAAAATCAAATATTCAAATATTATACAAGATTTTTAGAAAAATGTCAATTATTATAAGTTGTTTTTGATCAGATAATAATATATAATTTATAATTCATTTAGAAATGCAATTTTTTTTTAAATTTTTTTTCAAAAGCCAATATTATTTCAAATATTCACGCTGTAAGGCATTTAATATTCAATTATCGAAAATTTTAACTGAAATTTCTTTTTAAATCAATTTATTATTAGAAAATTCTACGAGAGACTTGAATTATTTAAATACAAAAAAATAATTTATTTCAAAAAATTGAATTTTAATAAGAATTTTATTTAAAAAAAATTTTTAGGAAAATATTAAATTCTCTTCACGAATTTGAAAACAATTTTTAAGAATAATTTCATTTTTCTAGAAGTTCGATTAAAATTGTATATTAAAAATAATTGAATCCTGTCAACAATTTGATTTTTCTTAAACACTTGAATTGTTGCAAAAAAAAAAATTTATAAAAAATTTGTAAAGAATATTGAATTTTTGTGAAATTTTTATTATTTATGACAGTTTATGAAAATAATTAAATTAATTTAACGTTCGCGTAGAATTTTAATACTTTTGAAAATAATTAAATTTCTATAATTTGTAGGGGAATGTAGTCAAGGTTGGTCTACTTTTTGTTCAATTACATTTTCGGAGGATCGAAAATTGTGTTTTCTGTGACGTCGGTACAAAAAAAGCTCAAAAAAAGTTTTGTGCATAATGTGAAAAACCATTAATAAAAGATAAAAAACAAATTGAATCGTCAAGGCAAGTATGCAGAAAATTTGTGGGACTCATGGTTGAAAGGAAAACAAAGTAAAAAATCGAATCCCGAAACGTATTTCTTTATGGTTACAACAATTCGGTAATGTTACTTACTGTCAAGGTCGGCCACTATGTGTTTAAAATGCGCAAAGTTGAGGACGAGCTACTTCATTTGCAAAAACTGCAATTCTGTATAACTCATAATATAATTGATCATCTTATTAATATTTTTATTTAATTTTATTAATATTTTAGTGCAGAATTTTTTTTTATTTATATTTATTTTTTTATATTGTTTATTGTTATTATTTTGTTATTTTATTAAGTTACAAACTGTAAACAATAAAGAATCAATATTCCGTAACTCCAAACATGTTATTTTATTTTTTAACGATTAATGCCCTTTGAATTTTAAACATGGCCGACCTTGACTGTAATGGCCAACCTCGACTACAAATTTTTTTTTTTTTAAATCTTTATAACTTTTTCATTTTAAAACCAATCAATTTACTTTGTACAGAAAAGATGTTCCTATTAAACAGGACTTTCCAACCATATACTTCAATTGTCCAAATTCATTTTTAAAAAAAAGTTATAAACAAAAGTCAAAAAGGTGGCCGACCTAGACTATGTTCCCCTAACATTTTCAAAATTAAATTTTTTTTTCTTATTTTTAACTAAAATTCTTCTATAAATCCATTATTTTTAATAACAAATTCAATATACCTAAAAAATTCGATTAATTTCCGAAGAATTTGAATTATAAAAATTTTTGAAAATTTTAAGTTTTTTTAAAATTTCTGATCAAGTACATTGAAAATTGAAATTTTATAAAATTTCAAATTGAAACCGCTTTCAATTATTTATTAAATAATTTTTGAGTAATTATTTTATATGATACCCTCTGGGCACGGAAACGTCTTTGTTCTAGAAACGTTCCTAAAACGTTTTTAGAACGTTTCATGTCCACTAGATAACGGTTAAAGAACGTCCAATGTTCTAAACTAGTTTTTAGAACATAAAACGTTTTTAAGACTTTATGTGGAGGACATGAAACGTTCTAATAACGTTTTAGGAACGTTTCTAGAACAAAGATGTTTCCGTGCCCAGAGGGTAGTTCTTCAAGAAATAAGTTATTTGAAAAAAAATTATTTACTATGCTAAATTTAGATGTCAAAGAAAAATATATTTCTTTAATTTTCGTAAACCACTGTGTTTCATTAATAATTCATTTATTCAAAATCTATTGTACATTTCTATTCTAATTATTTTTAAAAAGAAATAATCTATCTTAAAAGTTTTTAACACATATGAGAATTTAAAACAGTAAGATAACGAATTTTTGTTTAGCATAATAAATATTATATTAGTGTATATTCATAAATATTATATACAGTAAAAGTTTGAAATTTGAACATGATAAAATAGTTGAAATTGAATTGTTGTAGGTATATCGCATGCCAGTGTTCATTTTTGCTTCTTCTACTCTTTGCGATGGAAATTTTCTTTATAAGAGATTAACGATATTAGCGAGAAATAATTGTAGCTATAAATTAATTAAAAATATAGAAAAGTGAAATTTATTTTATTATAATAAAATCATCATTAACATGAGAGATAATTGAAAACATGTTAATTGTTTTAGTGAAAATTAAGTGTCACAATTTTCTTAAACTTCTCTTTTAACTATATCCATTTTCTCAACCGACAATTCGTTTTCCAACAAGACAAGCACAACACTTGAGTCCGAAATATAATAATATGAATAGACAGTCAGGTAAATGTAAAAAACCGGCTTTAACTTTTTTCAAACCAAGATAAAATAAAGAACTTGATTCTTTTTTTTGCATTATCAGTGTTTCTTAGTTTTCCTTTACACGTAGAATGTATATATCAATTATTGTAATTAGATTTAAAAAAAATTGTGATTTGTGAAGTAACAGTAAACCGACATCATTCACGATCATATATATATATATATGTAAGGAATATAAATTCTTATAAAATTAGCCGCTTATCATTTAAGAACGTAATATTTTCAAGCTCGATAAGTGCTTCGGAAAAATTCGTCTGAAAATCAAACATGAATTTAGGACGCTTCAGTAACACGGTAGCTGTGTTAAAGAGAAGCTATGACGAGATAACGATAAGGTAAGCTCCTCACGTGGGATAAAGATGCTCGCTCTGCGCAAGACGAAGAAAAATAACAATAAACCTACTTGTAATTAGGTAATTAAAAAATAATCGTAATTAAAGAAAATATTTACACTCTCAAATATTCTCATTTTTATCTAGCTATCAAGAGAAATTTGCTTTACAAATCTTTACTATTGAGTAAATAAAATTTCGTTAAAAATTTATCTGCATCTTCCTATAAATTCATTTACGGTTAGATTTTTGCTGTTAGATTGGAGGGCAGCTTCAATATATAATATCAAATAAGATTTTCAAATAGTGGTACAAGATGGATTTGAAGAATTTTTTTTTTTCCTTTTTTAAAAATCTTAGATTCTTAATTCGAGCGATGGGGCAACAACTTTTGCCGAATAAATCAATCTTTCTCGCGAGAGGCTTCGAAGAATATACGCTTACGGGTGCCTAGTGGAATGTAGACGGTGAAATGGTGCGTTTTAAAAGGTCCCAAATTGTTTCGCGGCATGGGGCCGAGGCTAGAATTACAAATGTGTCCTTGAAGTGTGTGGGTATACCCTGACGAGATGGATCCAAAAATCTGAAAATACGAGGACCAAAAGTTTTCTCTATATACACTATTATAAATACTTATGTACACACACGTAAATTTTACGAAACCTTAATGACAGACTGTCATTCCTTCAGGTTTATCTCATCCTTAATCTGATCGAATGAGAACAACAAATTTTTTTTTTTTGCGGTTTATTATAATACTGCTTTTGAGAGTTGAAGATTTATTCACAAAATGAAAACGTCACACTCCTTTTTCTATGAATAGAAAAATATTTTTAAAAATAAGAAATAGTCAAACTAAAAGTTTTCTACATGCGGACAAATTGAGCGCCCCAATGTAACAACTCGTTCGAACTTTGGTTCATTGACACAAAATCGTCATTTTCTAGAAACACTAGTGTTTCAAACTTTTCCGAAAACATTCTGTTGTTCGGTTATTATTTTCAGTGACAAATCATCAATAACGAAAAATCATCAATAAAGGAAAAAAAATATAAAATTATGTCTAAAAATGAGAACGTACCTGTTTTGAGAAGACGGCGATATCCTCGTTAAAACTTTCAGACGAACACACGTCACCACCCGCGACTCCGGGCTCCCGAGGGGTGCATGTTGCCAACTCACACTTTTCGAAAATTAGGGCGAGTAATGGAAACAAAGGATGTCTGCAACAAATAATATTAATTTATAAATTAAAACTACTCTACATTCTAAATAATTAGCAAATAAAATAAGTATTTTAGGTTCCTCTTTACCTAAATGCGAAAATTCCCACAAAATTCAACAACTTATCGCAGTCTAATTATGTAATTATCTTTTTTTTTTTTAAAGAACAACAGGTACAACGTGAAACACGCATAGTAGTCATTTCAATGTAAACAAATTTTTCGTTCAATTAAAAAAAAGAAATTGCTTCTTTTATGTAAACAGTATTTTTTTTTGTCAACTACTAAAAAACAGTTCAGTTTGATAATCGTTTTAGTTTAGAGCCCCTCTCATTTAGATAATGAAACTATTTTCTATTCGTATAGAAAAAATTATAAGTAATTCAAACAAAGAATTTAAATACACTATTCACAAGTTAATATTTAAAAGTTATACGTCCTTTTTCTAATTTTTCCATTATCTAATAAAAAAAATATTCGCGCAATTTAAAAAAAAAAACTGAAAGAAAATTTGATTCAACAACCGATGATTAGTTTATCAAATCAAATAAATGATAAATTACTGTGATAAATTTACTTAAATCAAATAAATGGAAAGAATAATTTCAATATTTGAATTAAATATACCATTTTAATTGACATAGATAAAAATTATAAATACAAATAAATATTTATTAAATAAATATACAAGCAATCGAATTAAAGCAGTGTAATAATAATAAAAGTAAAAATTTATTTACGAATTCAGTTCAAAGTATAAAATTTTTGTAAATAAGATGCGATTCAAAATTTCGGTGTTTTTTCTTTGAAACGAATACTTTTGTTTTCTTTTTCTTCTCAAAATGAATGGTTTCGTTTTTAAGTATAGAAACATCGCGAACTGCAATTTTAAGAATAAAACCGAAAATTTTGCGTGACTACAAATCGATGCAATTTAGAAAAACAGTGGAATCTGAAGAGGCGTGAGAAACAGCTTCATTAAGGCTTTTTTGTCAAATATATACAGTTAAATACCGAGGACAAAGTCAGTGTAGACAATAAAAATGGGAGAAACTAAAATTCTCTTGAGATTACAGATTGGGCCACATTGTCAATCCGACGGAAGACATTTTAAACTTTTACTTTTAAAATTAAAAAAAAAGAAAAACATTTTTTTTTTAAAATTTTTACATTCGATTTTTTATAATTTGAACTATATGTAACATTCTATTTTTACTATCTTTGAAATTTAATTGAACTTTTATTTTATTTTGATTGTATTTTTTCATAGGAATTAAAATTCTTCAAAATATTCAAATTCAAACCTTTTTGAAATTAAACAACTTATAAAAAATTGTTATAAAACATGAAGAAATCGAGTCTTCAACTCGGAGCAATAATATCTTCATGTTTTATAATAATTAAAAATGACCGAATAATTATTTTTTATTATAAAAATATTGTTACTGCAACTTATTCAAAATTACTTTCATCACTTTAATTCAATTATTCTTTTCCCGGATTTTTTAATTAAAATTCTTATTTTTTATTATTTTTAATAATTTTTGAAAAATTTCTTTGAAAATTTTCAAATCTTTTTGTTTACAATTCAATTTTACGAAATTTCATCGATTATTCAGAAATTCTTCAATCAAATATATGTTAGAAAATAAAAAACTTCAAATAACTTAAAAAAAATTCAATTAAACTTTTTCAAAAAAATTTAACCTACAAAATTTTCAGTTAAAAGTATAAAAAATTCAAACATTCAAAGATTATAATTTGAAATATTTTCAAAATTCAATTGTTTCTAAAAATTGACTCTATAATACTTTCTCTCTAAATTTGAATTAGTAAAAATGTTTACTAATTGGAATTAGTGACTGACTATTTGCTTTTGAATTAGAAAATTAAACTATTAAATTCATAATTCACAATTAGTAGAAACGACTATTTATTAGTAAAATCTGCCAATTGAAAAACAAAAAGTCAGTCACTAATTCAAATTAGAAAACATTTCTACTAATTCAAATTTTTGAAAATAATTGAATGTTAGAGAAAAATTTTATTATTTATAAAGATAATTGAAATTTTGAAGAGAATTTTTTTTTAAAGTTTTGACTATAATTGAATTTTTGCAAAGAATTTTATTACTTTTGAAAATATTTGAATTCTTGAGACGAATTTTTGAATAATATTTATTTTTAAATACCTAATTGACTTTTTTGTGATATTTTATTGAGATCGTGGATATATTGAAAATAATTGAATTTTGATAAATTATTGAAACTAATTAAATTTCTACGAAGCATTTTATTGAAATTATTTTGAAAAAAAATTGAATACCTAGTTAAAAAGAATTTCATTAAAATTTTCGAAAATAATTTAATTCTTTCAAGAAATTGAATTTCTCTGATGAATATTTTAATAAAATTTTTAAGAATAATTACATTTTTCGAGAAATTCCATTAAAATTTGTATTAAAAATAATTGAAATTATGAGTTTTATTATTTATGAAAATAATTGAAAACCTATTACAAAATTTCAAATTAAAAGCTTTTGAAGTTTATATCTATTTATGAAAATTGTAAACGTCAGTCTTTTAAAATTTCCTGATTTTTCCAGGTGTTTTCAAGGTTTATCAAATTCCCCGACATTTTCATGTTTTCCAGGTTGCGTGGCAACCCTGTTTTAATTTATGTAAATGTTAAACCAGTTTTTATTGAATATATTTTCGATGAAATGAAGACTTGAACTTGAATAATTTGTAATTGTAATTGTAATTGAATCTCTTTGTGTATTTTTACTTGAAAAATTATAAACATAACCTACAATTTTTTGATTCTTAGGTACCTTTCTTTTATGAGAAAGGTATATATACTGAAAGGTATACTTTAAAGAAGAAAAATATGCGCAGTTAGCCTGATTATATAAAAAGCTGAGGTCTTATCTACTACAGTCAACTTTTGTTCTTTCTTCATCCTAACCCTTTTCTATAGGAGGAATGCTTTATGTGCGTAAGGTGGCGGTCGTGACTTGTAGCGTAGCGGACATAAAATGATTTGGAACGAATTTCGACAAATTGACGTTGCCAGCGGCAGCACCGCAACCATAGCAATCGTCACAAAGGAGTCTTCGAACTTCTTTAAATATATATATAAAGATATCAGCATATTAGTGAACTATAATTAAACCGGTAGATAAACAAACAAGATAGTTAAATCAACTAATAAACTATGGTTATCCCAGTGGGCACAGGGTCGTCTTTTTCTATCCGCGGACATCCTGGGACAATGGTGGCAAGTCATAAAAACAACTAAAAGACGTTCTATTTCTGGTCCAAAAGACATCTATTTTACGTCCCTCATAGTGCTGCCACGATACTAAGTTTCACGAGACCGAGACTTTCGATTTTTAGTAGTTGTATTTACTCTCTAGTAGAAAGTTACAAACAGTCGTCGACCAAATGATTTAGTAATCATTTTACATACTAGCAATTAGTGGAGTTTTACTAATTGTTAGTATAGTAACAATTAGTAGAACTGTTTTATTAATATTCGATTAAGTTTCACTAAATCATTTAGTAAATACGATTCTAGCGGAAGATCCGACAAAAATGCATGTATAGGGGTGACAAATGACTGGTGAAGGACTTAGGTGTTGGGTTGACGTGAACCGCAAAAGTAATGATATGATATACGATGGCCTGTTGAACGTTGTTCGCAGAACCTGTGGTTTTGTGGTTTCCGATTCTTAGCTCTTTTTTTCTGACTTCTTTGCCCTAAATTCTAAGAACAATGCATTAGACTCGTTATACTTTAAGAAAAAGTACCCAAAACTGCGAAATACAATACGGTGCTCCAAGTTAATCAATAATTTAAAAAAGCATCATAACGGGGGAAGGAGTTAAAATTCCCGAAATTAAGTATCACACGCTTTATGGATGAGCTCTGTCAAGTTTTACATATGGGTTGTAAAATTAATAAAAAAAATATTTGAAATATGTCCGAATAATCGAAAATCAGAATAATAGGGGGTCCCTACCGTATTCAGATTATTAGACATATTTATATTATAAATATATACTAAAAATATATTCTTAGAAAAAGTATTTTATGTATAGTAAAATATTTTCATTCCTAAGCAAAAACCTTAGAAATATTTTCTTATTCTGAAAGGTTTGCTATACATCTGGTTTGACTTAGGACGACCAGCCATAAAGGTTCCTTGTCTATTTTATTATGCGTTTTTCAGCACACGTTTTTCTTCATATGTATATATTTATTAAGAAAGAAATTTCCAAACATATAAGAAATATTTTGGAAATTTTTTGAATTTTCAGTGAAATTTCCAAAGAATTGCCTTTGAAGCGTCAGTTGCTTTCTAGCATTTAAGAGACGTACTTAAACCGCGCTCGGCAATAAAATAATATTTAAAGTTTTATTAAATAAACAACCGTTTAACTACTTTTTAATTTTGAATATTCTTCGTGTTTATTGCAGTGTTAAAAAATAATGTTATCAATGTATATTATAATTATGACAATGGTCCACATTTGTAATTTAAAAAGTTGTCTCAGTGAGACAAATTCTATCGAAAAAGAAATTCGAGAAACTGAAGACAAAGATTTTAAGTAACCTTCTGCAGTTTTATTTTTTTGTAATCGAGCAGATAACATCAAGATATCAAGAAGCCCATCTGAATCATATTATTTGCGACTCCGATAATATCTATAATGAGCCGAGAGCTTGCAAAATACATTCCGTTTCAGCATTTCTCCAATTCTGAGCCATGTATCAACATTATGGTACTGAATTACACAAGACTTTTTCAATTTTAGTAAAAACATTTCTTAAAGGACACGAGAAAACTTATTAAAATTGTGCATTTAAATTCCCCAAACTATATTTTAAACAAATATTAATGTAATTTTTTGTCCTTTAAGAATTTAAATTAATGTCAACAATAATAATAAAATTTTTAGTTTTTTCATTGTTTGTATCAGATGAGTTTGTAGGTAAAAATGTACAACAGTCGCGTGTGCGAGGTAAAACCTGTTCATAAAGAATGCACAGGATCCTAAATTGTATCCAGGCGTTCCAGGAAAGTTAAAAACCCCGCCTGGGCACACGACGACTGAACAAATTACAGGTTTGCCGCAAAAATAATAAGCTTCCGTTCTCTCAGAATACACCAGAAATTGGAACATCTTTTACTGCGATAAATCATAGCAAATTTTAAAAAACTTAACGTATCCGAGCAGTGATTTTTCACTCATAATCAAGAGTTTAATTATTTCAACTTAATTATCGTATGTTAATAAATATTTTAATATATATGCTATGAAAATTGTCCACACTATATGTACTGCCCAGATTGAAATGGACAGCAATTGTTAGCTAACATAGCAGCATGGAGAAAAATGAAAATTCAGATTTCGGACAGAGTATAAAACAATTTGAATGATTTATATTATCGTAGGAAGAAATATTAAATTTTAGTTCAGCTACTCAATTGTTACAATAAACTGTGTATCAACGTTCACTTAAAACGGCGATTGTTCAGTACTGAACTCCAAAATTTTAAATCGAATTTTTCTGCGTGAGATTATTTTTCAGCCACGCAGTAGTTGTAGATGATACTATACGTTGTCATTTAAAATTTGTTCATTTTGAGCGAATTTTCCATTTCATAATCAATTCCATAACAATAAAAATATTAAGAATAAATTTTTTGATTTCATGTGATAACTTACCCATAAATGGCGTCTTTGTCTCGTTTGTGAACATCCGGTATCGCCGCCGATGACGCAACTGCCGCCAATACATTGTGAGGTGGTTGGGGTGGGGGTGGTGGGTACTGGGGGTGGGCCGGCCCCATTGCTCCCAGGTGTGAACTGTGGTGAAGTCCTGGAACACCTCGGGCACTGGCATGTGGATCTGGGTGATAAAGTCCTGCCCCACCCCCACCACCGCCTCCTTCGAGATAGCCTCCGTGCAGGCCATCGTCATACTGAAAAGTTATAGGAATATTTTACTTTTTTATCGTTTTTTTTTTCATTTATTTCAATATAAAAATTAATTTTTTTTTAATTCTTCAACCAACATGTAGGATTCAACTATTAAAAATGAAAATAATATTAAGTCCCCTTTTTTGCTGATTTTTGTTACTGATAGAAATGGGTCATTTTGACTAGAAACGCATATAATATAAAAAACGAAATAAGAATGATGACAGATAGACCAAATCAACTGTCACATTCAATTACTAGATGTTAGGGTGTAAAGTCGCGATACCCAGTAATTTTGTTGTAAAAACAAGAGTGCGATAAAACTATTGGTTATTGACATAATATACTCAATACCGGTTCTTTTCTGCTGTCATTCTTTTCTATTTGCATAAAGCACTTTCCAGCGGATGGAGAAATGAAAAATTGGATAATCGCGTGACGTCGATAATTATTGATAATTTTTCATATACTGTGCCGCAAGTACCATAACTTTATTTTACGAATCTCGCCGTATTTTTAAGCATTTTTACAAAAGCATGTACCTGCGAAATATTTGACAGGTTCAAACTTTATGGGAAATTAAAAAAAGAACGATCACTTCTCAGTACGAACATATTTAAGTCCTCATCATGGTCAGAATATTCAATAAAAAGTATTTCTGATTTCAGTTCCAAGACATTAAATTAAGTATAACCTTTAAACCATAGAAGATGCCATTCAGTCCTTTGTTAAATGTAATCTATATATACTTAAGGATTTTCTATCGCTTGACGAAACTAATCAAAACAGAAACCATTATTTTGTGATTTGACTTGCTTGGTACTTTGAAACGTCTGGCAACACCGCATTTCTTTAGTCGTGTTGCAAATGGTTGCTATGACTTGTTTACATTCAGTTTTAAGAAGTACATTGTGTGCAACGTTGCCGGGCGTTCTGACAGCTGTTCAATATACTGCAGAAAACATGAAATATTTTTACAAATTAATTTATTGTAACTCTTGAGGTAATTCACATATTACGTGATAGATATTTTAGGTATTTTAGACCCCCTCCCCCCTGTGTGATACTTTTTCTATAGTTTAGTATAGCAAATTTGTTAAAGCGTGTTACTTTGCTTACACCCCCTCCCACCCCTAAATATATCACGTAATATGCGAATGGCCCCTTACAGGTACCTAATGACACTTTTTTAAACAGATATTTATTTAATCATTATACATTTTTTTTTTGCTAAAAAATTTTTCATCAATTTCCTAAGGGGTTATATGGGTCAAAACGACTAGAAAACGTAGGTTTTTGTTAATAATTTTTTTTTCATAAAATAAATAAAGTATTAAATTTGAAAAATTTCATATCTTAAAGTGCATTATTAAATGAGTAACTTGTAAAATTTATGATAAAAAATATTAAAAATCAGGCCCGTACCAAGAGATTCTTTGAGATAACTAAATAATTTTGTTTCAGTCATCTATAATTTGGTCGCCATGTTTTACAATTGCCTAACGAAATAATATTGTATTATTGTAATAGACACAAATAAAAAGTTGAAATCACTTATACTAGTGGTTTAAATGGTCAGAAATTTCTTTTCAGGAGATTAATAGACAATCGATTAAGTATTCGATTCTGATGTAAAAAAAAATATGTTACAGGTCGTTCTATATTTCAATCTGCGTTGCAAGAGACGTCAATTTTTTTCTTTACACTTTTAATGACAAATGACCAACATAAATTATGCTAGTATATAATTTACGTACATCATACTTGTGCATTCGGCAAAAATCATTTGACGACGTGTGATTTCTTACCGTCACTATTAATCTCCCTCAGTTGCTAAAAAACCTGACAATTATTAGTGAGTTAATAAATCTTAAACTCGACAGAAAATAAGAAAATCAAGATTAAATTAACTTTATTAAGTTCAATACATTGAGATAAACTGAAACATTATTAATTGAATAAATAAAAATAAATAAAAAAAAATTAAGTCATTTTTATTGTTAAAGTGCAATATTCAAAAATAAAACGCATTGAATTCTAACATTGAGTCTAAATTTCAGATATACCTTCAAATATTAAAAAAAAAAAAAAAAAAAAAAAAAAAAAAAAAATTGTTAATTTTTGAATAGAAAAATGTGAAAAGGGGACTATCTGTGATGCCTGGAGACTAAATAAAAATTTAAGTAATTTTAAATGAATTATAATAAACAATATAAAATTAAGTAAAAGGAATATGTTGAATGGAAAAAAGTGGAAACAAAGAAATCGAGGAGGCGCTAGTGTAATTTAATTTAATATGTATATGCGTGTTAATGTTAGATTGGCTGAAACAGTGTTGTTTACATGTGTATTGTTCATGTAGGAAAAGTAAGCAAGAATTAAGAATTTTTTTTTTTTATTTTTCATTAGTCATTGGATTTTTTGTTTTCAGCAACTGTCGATGGAACTTTGAAACATTGTAGAGCTAATTTCGATATACTGACCAAACACTACCCGCCGGTTGTAAATTTTTACTTGGAATATTCTATATTTAACATAATTATAGGGTCGGCTATGCCTAGATATTAAAACTGATCTGTATAGAAGTTAAAACTTTGAAATATGGGGAGCTAAAATCTAACCTCTAATTTCATATGTTAAAACTCCTATGACATATATGAATTGAAATGTTGTGTGTATTTCTTTGGGTTCTGAACCTGCTTCTTGTACACTTCTTTAGAACATTGTAGTTTTAATTTTAGATAATTTAAAAAATTATAATTTATAACGAAAAAGATAAAGTAATATGGTTATGTTTAGTAGTCTACAAATGAAGGACAATTTTAAAACATTTCTCTTTTAGTTTTGAATAGCAGAAGTTTTGAACTTTGAAATATACTGGACCGCCGCTCGGGAGTGTTGTCCCAGGACCCTTAATGAGATAGTTGAAAGAAACTCAGGGACGTACCAATTTATTAATATATACATTTTTCATATGAAATTCTTATATATTTTTATAGAATAATAAAAATAAAAACAAATATTTATATTCAAGCCCCTTGAAAAAAAAGCTTTCAATTCAATTTTTTTATGTGTTCTGAACATAAAAAAATAATTTTTAAAATCTTTTAATTATTATAAAACATGAAGATATTGCTCCGAGTCGAAGACTCGATTTCTTCATGTTTTATAACAATTTTTTATAAGTTGTTTAATTTCATAAAGGTTTGAGTATTTGAAATTTTTGAGAATCTTAATTCCAAGGGAAAAATAATAATAATTTTATATTTATTTAAAAAAGAAGTTATTGATGTTCCAAGCCCTGTTATGAGCAAAAATAAAATTAAAAAATTTTTAATTTTCAAGCAATTTCTATGATATTCTGTTAAAAATATACATCAAGATTCTTATTTTATTAAAAGAATAAAAGTTTATTTGAAAGACATTCTATTATAAAACACGTTGATCTGTTCTGAAGGTTTATAACTTTAAAGGAACATAATCCAAGTAGAAAAATCAATAGATGTTATCAAATTTCTGCTCAAGATATGTATGTATCATCGTTTTTCAGGGGAAAAATATCTTATCTACCTACGACTCACAACATCCAGGTAACGTAAGTCCCACACAATAAAACCGAATCCGAACGAAAATATTAAAGTTTTTGTTAAAAAAATAAAGTTGAAATACAAATTTACAATTGAGTAAAAATGAATCAAAATTATCAGACAATGAATACTAATTATTATTTTAGGCAACATAATGTCATCTCGATTGATGAATGTGATGTTAGGGAATGTGAATGAACGCTACATTTCACTAATTCTATGTAAGTGATTTTGAAATTGTAACCAGTGCGCGAAGAAATGAAACAGCGTCAGAAAACGCAAATAAACAAGCTACAAGTAGAAGCTCACAGACAATCAATCTTGACACATATACGTACGCAAGTCTCTTATCACCACGTTTGATAATGTAATTTCATGTAAATTTCCTTATCACTAGATATCGGACAGCGTCCTCTTGAACCTAATCGAAAACCTCTAACCCATCGACAACTTTTTTTTTTGATATTCCACAAGCATAAAACTTGGAATTATTAGTCTACTTGTTTACATATCTTAAAGCTCTTTCACTTTTATATACGTTCAGTTGAAAAATTACATTTTTCACATTTTAATTGCATATAGGTATTTATGCACATAAATAGGAAAAACAAAAATTTTATTATAATTTAAAGAATTTATTCAACTCTTAATTAGCCAGCGCAATGCGACGGACGAAACGGAAAAACATTTTAAAACAGTTTCTTTATACTTTTCAGTTAAAATAAGTAAATTGGGTGCCAATTTATATAGCTATAGATTTTTAGAAAGATTTGTCAAAACTACACATGTACTTGCAACTCCTAACTATAATTAAGTACTAATGACGAAAAACTAACAAAAACGGTTACAAAACCTTAATATCAATAAAATCTACAAGAAAAGCTACTTGATATTTAAAGTCATAAAATCCTGACTTAAAATTAATTTTCAAAATAAATAGATAATTATTTTTTTTAGTACATATGAGTAGTTAAAACTTGTATTAATTATTATATGAATATATTATATGAACATATTATGTATTATATGAATTATATGAATGGTTTAAAAAAAGAATAAATTTACAATGTGCAAGAACTTGAACATTAAAATAAACTAAATAATGACGTGAATATTTATCGTAGCAGGAAACATTTTAATTAATAATTTCTGTAGATTTTTAATTTTGAGAAAATTTACTATTACAGAGTCATTTGATTAAAGAAAAAATTGAATTTAAAATTTTCGAGTTCCGTTAGAAGTTGCAAGTACGAAACTTATTGTCAGGTACCCAATTCATTTGTATTCCGAAATAAAAGTACTACCGAACGAATAAAATTTTATTTCAAAATTTTTAAAATCACACAACCTACTGTGGTTTAGCAACTAATTATTTTAAATATGAGAAAAGTGGAGAATGTATCCTGTTTATATAAAAGAATATGCAATGACTTCTTGCCGACGGAAACTGAAGAAGTACATAGTCAGCAATTTTCATAAAAGTTCATCCTACAAGTTTTTTTTTTAATTTTCACTACAATAAAATTAAAAAACATAATTTTCTACATTCTTTTCAAAGTACGACTTGTAACGAATATAATTTAACAATTTAAGTGTTTTAATGGTACAAATTTCTCTCTATTATTTAAACCTAAAAAAGTTAAGTAAATGAAATTATTAGAAACGTTATAATATTGAATTTATAAATATTGAGAAATTCTTTTTTATTTCCGAAACAGTAACTCAGAATTTGTTCTTCTATAACAGCAACAACAAAATATCAAAGTTCTTAATAGTGTTTGAGTGACAATATATAGAATCGAAATTTGTCAATAATAGTGTACTTGAATACAAAGAAGTAAATTTCATTATTATTGCGAGAGATTCGATAAACTACAAGCAAACCAAATACCAATCACTATTATGAATAGGATCTAAAATAAAAAGGTGAATTTATAAAAATTTCTAATTAGTAATAGAAAGATGGAATTATTTAAAGTTTAGAATTTTAAATAATTATTATGAAAATCGTGTTATATTTTTTAAAAAATTAATAAGATGAATATTATTATTATTATTACTTTCATGATAAACGAGAAAAGGATGTTAAATCTCTTTATAGAAGAAAAAGCAGACTCCTCTGAGAATTCCCACGATCCGAAGGGACGGAGTTTTCCAGGCTGTAAACATTCTCTTCACACCCGTCGCTATAGAAATTCAAATATTTTCCACCAAAACATTTTATTTAATTCCCTCTTTACATAAATTTTAAACGTTTAAATTTATAAACAAAAACTATATTATTGAATAAAAAATATTTAAAACTGATATATTGAATTTAAAACGAAGTGACAACATTGATCAATGAAAAAATTAATTAACAGTAATTTATATTGAGGAAATAAATTTTTGTATGAAATATAAAAAGTGCACAAAATCATTAATTTTAATTATTGTATTGAATAAAAGAAATTATCGAAGATGAAATGTCAAATTTCTTCTATCGCGAGTCGAGATGAACCCATATTATTATTAATATTCTATTTATTATGTGTGCATCGATTGGAGTGTTATTTATTTTTTCCATTTATAAACTTTGAAATGCATAAATTATTAAGTTATAGGTTTAACTAGGCATTCACTTCAAATGAATGCCAAAAAGATGTTTCAAAAAGCACTTTCTCGATAAAAGGGGAGAAGCTCATTAAAAGACTGACTAAAATCATCAAGTTTTATGTCTTTGCAATGTCTTTTCTTTAAAATCCTCTCTAATCCATTGATATTCTTAAAAGAGAAGAAGTAACTTAATGTATTCAAGCCTAATCCAGAGTACCTTCTAAACTACAAGGTCTACCTGAAGTCAAGAATCCTTTCATGAAAACCACCTGGTCATAAGGACAAAACAGTAACCAATTTTGAGGGAAACATATTTCACTGGGGCGGAAGATTTCTCTCGTTAAATCCAAAAAAAAAAAAAAATGCTTGACATTAAGAAAAAGCACACTGCTAAACATTGGTATCAAAGTTTTGAATGAAATTAATGAAAACTAAATGTTCCCAAGCAGCACGTAAGCTTATGTAATATTACATTGGATAATATTACATTACAATGTAGTATTACATTATAGATTCGTCATATTACAGTGATCTTACTGGGATATCAAAATGTCCGCCTGGAGGTAATATTACTTGGTAATATTAAGGTAATATTACCTGGTAATATTAACGTAATGTTAAGGTAATATTCAGATAAAATTAGAATAATTTTATAATTTAGAAAAAAACATTTCACAAAGCTGGACTCGAACCCTGAACATGTGCATAGTCATCATGAGTCTTACCACTGAGCCAAACTTATAGTGTATTAAGATTCTCGACGGTATATAATCTTTGTAAGTTTTTTTAAAGTTGTTCATATTTCATCAAAAATCTTAATAGAACACACTATAAGTAAGTTTTGCTCAGTGGTAAGACTCTTGATTACTGTGCACAAGGTTCAGGGTTCAAGTCTAGCTTTGTGAAATGTTTTATTCTAAATTATAAAATTATTCTAATTTTATCTGAATATTACCTTAACATTAGGTTAATATTACCTTAATATTACCAAGTAATATTACCTTAATATTACCAAGTAATATTACCTTAATATTTCTATGTAATATTACCTTAATATTACCATGTAATCTTCTCTTAATATAACAACATAATATTACCTCCAGGCGGACATTTTGATATCTCAGTAAGATCACTGTAATATTACAGTGTAATATAACGAATCTCCAATGTATAATATTACAGTGAATTCAAGATAAGCTTACGCGCTGCTTGGGTTGCAAATCTTTTTCATGAGAATTATCGAATAGCGACCTCTACAACTCGTTGGCGGGAATAGACTTTGAAGTGGAGTGCGTTACTCACCCTTGGCTGCGACATGAACGCCCTGGCCGCGCCGGGGAACTCTGCGTGCTGAGCCACCGTAGCGGCTATATTTTCCCAGAGTAACAATCAATTAGCCTCACACCTTTAACAACTCGTCTCTCTCTCTCTCTCTCGCCCACCACCTCTTCTTTATCTTCTGCTTTCTTCAAACTTGCTTCCACTATTCCCGTCGTTTGGCACTTTCATACGAGAAATCACTGACAAAGCGAAACTGTTACCGTCGGTGGACGGCGGCAAGGCACGACAGCCAACCTCTCTGCGACAGATGCACGCACTTAAACCGAAACACTATCGCGGTCGTACCTCGTCTCTCGTTCCTAGAGCCTCGAGTTGCTTGGTCGTGACGTCAGCAAAGCTTAAATCGCCAGACAAATGTGTCCTGCTTCCTCATTGTCAAGAGGAACTGCACCTCAATGATCCAAAAGGTTCTCTGCCGGTTCGTCAGTGGCGTCGTCGCATCACTGGGCCTCGAGCACGTGGTCTTTCGTCCCACGGGCACTTTTCACTCCTGACTTGTATCCGTATGTCCAAATTGATCTTGAAATTCTTTTTTTTTTTTTTTGCAAAATTCCGTAACACGTCAATCACTCACGAACGATCACATCTACTTGTCATCACCGACATGTGACATTTCACTAAATCACCAAACACAAAGTCACAGAAATCACGATATTTTTCTTCCAACAAAGGAACCAGCACTGTGGCCAACTAACCACCACGACCAAATATTACCGATTGCGCGAATCCTGCCTCAGGACACCTTCCACAAACATATATTTTACACACGGGCTTTATTTCTCTCAGAAGAAATTAATTTTTCATATAGGAAATTGTCGTTTTAAACTTCAGGCCTTGATTGTGTGAAGGGTGAGGCGGCGGACGTAAACGTTTTTCGAAAATCACACGGAGCGAACAGCCGAAGAAACAAGCGAGCGTTTAGATCCTGCGCCGTCCGCAGTCGTTCGCCAACTGTCAATCACCGACGACTGGCGTCAGGGAGTGGGAGGTGAATTGACACGCCTATAACGCGCGGCCAATGTGTCTAGGCCACGCCCATTGGCAGTGGCGCTGCGGTGGCGGTTCGCCGAACTCGAGCGCTCCGCCATTGCTGCATCAATACACGCAGGAATCCCCACACAACGTGAGGTACGAACGGAATAAATATACGACAGCGGCGCGGCGGTGTCGGCATTTCTCCCTCCCTTAATATAAAGGTGTCCCACCCTTAAACAGGCTATCCCCACTTTCCACCTTGATTCCCCTCTTACTATCTGAAAGAGGATTTGCTCTCTTCGAGGAGAAGCTTTCCCGCTCGAGCCTAGTGAGCCACGCTCCTTTGGTATTTCAAAAGACGACTAGACGAGAGTTGCAAGAGCTAGAGGAACGACTTCGCGAAGGATAAAAAATTATTTCAAATTTTCTACGTTTAGAATATCTTTAAATTTTTAAAAACCTCCTTTGTGACGATTGCAACATTTAAGATTCACTAATTGCTTTATACGTAATTAATTTGTTCAGTGCTGTTTTTATAACTGAGTTTTATTAAAGTGTTTCGTGTCTCTAGAACTGGATTAATTTTCTTTTTTCTTTAAAAACGAGAAAAGATCAATTCAATTGTTAGATTATGTATGGAAAATATATACATTTAATAAAAGATTCTGATATAACAATCTTTTACAGACTAAATTTGAATCTTTGAAAATTACTGATAAAACAAAGAGTCGTTCGTTAAATATCATTAAGTAACGTTCTTTCCTGTCATTTGTCGACATTGACAACAGTCCAGTATTGAAGCAATACTGGCATGCTAATAATTATTGGCTCGCCCGTACTGATTCAATACTGCCATTAATAAAATTCTGTAGTGCGACAGTGTTGCACGACAATTATACTTGCATGCTAGTCCTTCCTTCCTTCCTACTTCGCCAGCATAGCATTGTGAAGACACACGGTTTCGTTTTAGGAATATTCGTTTCAGCGTCCAATATCCAAAGGGAAAAGTACAACTGGTGGAGTTATTGCGAAGTACTGCCTGCACTGAAAAAAAATATTATTTGATTCAATTAATTCAAATTATTTGAAAAATATTTATTTGATTCAAATCGTTTTTATTTGGATCTAATAAATATTTATTTGCTTCAAATAACTTGAATTACTTGAATCTTATTTATTTAAATCAAATAAATCTTAATTGGATCAATTATACATAATTAATTGTCTCTAATAAATGAATTTATTTAATACAAATAATGAGTTATTTGAAACAATTAACTTATTTAATACAAATAATGAGTTATTTGAAACAATTAACTTATTTAATACAAATAATGAGTTATTTGAAGCAATTAACTTATTTATTTCACTCAACTAATTGGATATTTGATATAAATAAACATTACTTGACACAATTAGTTTATTTTATCGCATCAAGTAAACTAAATTATTTAATTCAAATAATGCATTATTCAATGCAAATATATTATTTAATAGAAACAAAAAAAAATATTTGGATCAAATAAATAACTTATTGAAACCAAAATACAGTAGGATCTTTCAATAGTGCAGTTCTGAATAGTGCGCAGTCATTAGTGAGTTGAGTAGACAAGGGGTTTCGGGAGACAAACAGAAAGGGAATCTGTGACGTCAAATACAGTGCCGTCGCCTATTTGATTATTTAGTATCATTTAGTGGTGCCCGGTATTTAGTAATTTGGGACCCTTAATTTTCTTGACACGGACCTGAATGTTTTAGTTTTAGCTTGCTTCGAACAGTGCACAATATTCCTGACGACTGCACTATTGAAAGATCCTATACTGTAATAAGTTATTTGAAACATTTAATTTATTTATTTCACTCAATTAATTGAATATTTGATATCCAAAAATTTTTATTTATTTATTTATTTTTTTTTTATTTAAAAATTATTTGTCGCAATTAATTCATTTTATGACTTTAAGTAAACTAAATTATTTAATGTAAATAATGCATTATTTATAATGCTACACTGAGAGAAATGGATAATTAGAATTTGATGGTTAAAAAAAAGATTGTACGTGGTACCATCATTATGTTACTGGGTACAATCTCTACTATCCACTTTTTACAATCTCAGATGTTACCCGAGAACATATACATATGCTAACTTTCTGATTGTAGTCACTACTATCAAATATTGTCGAAATTTAACGTGAGCGCATGCGCTGACTATGACAACACGTTTCAATATGCAATTGCAAAAATTCGTGTGTTTTACGTGTTTCCGAATTCATCTAAAATAGACAATTTTGTAAAAAATATTGCAGTGTTGTGAAATATGGAATCTTTGATTCCAACTTTTGTCAGTTAGTTAATTATTTTTGTTATAGTTAATCAAAGACTATAAAATTTATACATGTTTATAACCTCAAAATTTTAAACGATTAAATTTTCTTTTAAAATGACAGGTTAATGCTTGCACAAGTTCATTTTACAATAAATTTTTTTAAAAGTGTTAGAAAGTCTCTGAAATTTGTAGATTAAATGAGACTTCCGATTATCGCCCAAGAGAACGGTACTGACTGCTTTAAAGTACCTGAAATAAGTAAACAAACGTTTTCCAACAATGTTTTCTCTGAACACAGACACTTTTTACAAAATCTGCTTACATACACTGAATAAGCGTCTTCTAAATTATAATAACCGAAAAGATTGTTTAAATCCATGCGTAAACGTTATTGTAAAATGAAAAATTGAGAAGTAATGTAATGCAAAGAATATAACAGTTCGGCCATTGTGCTCGCTCTGCATACTTCTGCCCTCTTCTGGCGATTGGCAATAATCTCTGATGGTATAACCCCAACCAACCATTTTTAACATCAAAGATTGTTACCTGTACAATCAAATTTTAATAATCTTTTGATAGTAAATGCTACAATCTAGATAGCTGTCTGTATACGTAGCATTAAAGATGGTCACCCTAACCATCATTATGTTACCCACTACTATAAATTTCTCTCCGTGTAACCTTGAATAACTTTGGCAAATATTCGAATTTCGGAAAACTATTTACAGCTTTTTATTACACCATCATACTCTCTAAATCTGAATTAGTAGAATTCTACTAAGAAATAGTAAAATTTGACTAATTTTTAGTAGTTTTCAAAATTATATGTTCATAAATCTCTTAAGGGGGAACTCGTGTAAAATAAAATTTTTTTAAAATTTTCTTTTTCTTTAAAATTAGTTTACTATCTGTAGAATAAAATCCTACATTGTTAATCCAAAATTCTCAAATGCTCAAATCCTCTATAATGCTACAAATAATAATAATAAATAATAATAGTAATGAAATTTTATTAATTGTAAATAGTAAGGACTATTAGTAAGTGATAGTAAACCTTGGTATTAGGGCAATAGTTATTATATGGTCCTACTAGTACTTTTCTGAATCACAATTTTCTCAAAACGTATTTTTTCGTGCGCCGTTGCAATGTTATGCTCAGCCAATTTTCAACCGATTTTCATGAAACTTGCCAGAAAATTTTCTTTAAATTACTAGATATTGAATAACGATCAGGTTTTGAAAAAAAATTTTTAACATTGTTTTTTTAAATTGTTTATATAAAAATAAGCGTTTTTTTCGAAAATTAATTAAATTATTTAATTAATTTGCTGCACGGCGCAAAACCAAAGGTTTAACTTCAAACGCCTGTTACGCTGCCATTTTGCAATATTTGTAATTAAAAAAAATAATTTAGATAGATTACATTATATATTTTAATATGTGGTTAAAAAGTATTGGTGACAATTTGAGCAAAGGAAGATCAAACAGAAAAAACAATTATATTTGTCAAATACACTTCGAAGAAATTTGTTTGAATGACAATGATAAAAGTTTTACGGGATATGGAAATGAAGTAAACTTGTCTAGGAAATTACTATATAAGATTAAAACCTGGGAGCGTCCCATCAATTTTTAAGGTTTGTTTAATAATAATTTTTTATGTAGTTTTTTGTTGGTATTTTGAATCAAATTATACGGCTAAAGTACCCAAGTGCGAAATTAAAAACGGCCCAAAACTGGCCCAGTGACGGCATAGTCAGTGCCTACTCTTGGCAGACAATAGTGGCCCGACTGTAGGGAGGTTAACCATATCCATAGAGTATGGTATGAAGACCACTTTATATCGTTTCGTCCCGGTCCCCACTACTTGGACTCATCAGTAAGGCTACGTAGTGGGAGACCTGCCCTAGACGGGGGAAGCAAATTCGGAACTTGTATATATGCTACAAGACTAGCCCGTATTGCACTTGTGAGAGATCTATATGGGAAATTGGCGTAGATGCGAGATCTATTGGCCAATCTCCACATGCCTCTGTAAACATCAGCATTGAAACACAGGCGAAGATTATAAGGCGCGCTGCAGTGTGCATAGTAGAGAAACTGGACTCAGTCCCCTACTTCGAAATTTTCACAATAAGGGAACGCAGGCGCGGAACCTGTCAAAATAAATGGCCGACGCGACGCGAAACGAGTGTTTCCTTTTATTCACTTCGTCAATTTTATATAAAAAAAACAATAACCAATCATTAAAAAAAAGAAAAATATTTTAAATGCACTCTTTATATATATTCGTTAATTCACAAGTTTTATTTTTCCCACATCTTCATACTTACAATTAACAACTAAATACATCGGAAAATCTTACACGGAGAGAAATTTATAGTAGTGGGTAACATAATTGTGGTTAGGGTGACCATCTTTAATGCTACAAATACGGACAGCTATCTAGATAGTCACCGTTACCATCAATATCATCAGGAGTAACATCTTGGTAGTACGGGGTAGCATAACTATATTTTTTTTAGCATCTGTGATGGTTGGCAGTAGCATAATGATAGTATCGTGTAACATCATCTTTTTAACATCACTAGCTCCTCCGACGGCCGCAAGCGGCCGTCTACGGTGCTAGTTTTTATATGTCCATTGTCCAAGTCCATTATTTCATTAATAATAATATTCAAATTTTTTCAGTTAATAATTTGCTTATTTATATTGAAATGTTGACGTTTTTTTTTGACAATGCAAAATAAGATTTATTATGAGTACTTTCTCTTAACAAAAATAAAATTTATATATTCGCGCTCTTTTTAAATAACATACGACTGCAGCGCCACCTTCACATGT